TGGGGGAGGGGCCCGCCCTTATAGGAAAAATCCTTTAAAAAAAAAAAAAAAAAAAAAAAACAAAAAAAAAACCTCTCTCTTAAAAAAAAAAAAAGAAAGAAAGAAATACAGAATTTCGGGACCAGCAATTGGTGTAGAGGTTGTGGCGCTGGACTTACACGTAACTGATCACAGTTCGAGTCCTGGACCCATCGGCTTGAAACTCAAACCAGGTGCGTGTACTTACGTGCCCAAAATCCCAAGAGGAGAATAGAGGAGAAGGGATTGAGGCATGGCCAACCCCCGCCCAGGGGGTGATTTCTCACTTTCTCTCTGTCTCTCTCAGTGTCTCTGGAGAGTACACACACACTATAGCAAAAATCTCTTAAAAACAACAACCAAAAAAAAAAAGAAAATGAAACACAGAATTTCAGGGAGCCAGCAGGTGGCGTGGTGACTAAGACACGCCTATGTATCCTGACAAGACACACACATGGGTTCCCTCTGGATATAGGAGAGCCCAGACCAGCATCCTCCACTCCTGTTTCCCCTATGCGTCTGCATCAGGCTCTGCATCTCGCAGCTATCATCACAGGAACGCGCTTGCACACCTGCCCTGCTGAAGACACCATTCCCAAGGGAGGACCGTCACGACCCCGACATCCCCGACAGATCCTCTCCTCCCTCGGTCACCCAGCCCTCTTTTGTCGTCCATGGGTACCCACGTGACCCCTCATCAGACACCACATGACTGATCCTGGCCACCTACTCCACGTGACACCCCCTTTATACAGCTTCTTTCCTGGCGGCCCAACAGCTGCCTGTGGCCATGGGGGAAGCCCCTTGGCCATGCTTTCGCTGTCAGTGAGTCTCGTGCTCTTCGATGCCTCGCCGAGGTTGTCCTTCATCCCAAAACCGCACGGAGGGCTCCCACAGCCTGGAGCCGGCAGACATCCGCTGGCCCTGGCACGTCTGGGTCCTGGGCACCCCGGGCCGGTGGCGCCTTACCTTCGCAGACCTCGGTTCCACCGAGCCAGAGGCGAACTCCAAGCCCCGACTTCTAGGCCGCAGCCCCCACTCGGTCCTCCACTCCCAGGGACTGCCGTCCTCCGATCGCATCTTCCTCCATCTCGGCTGGGCTCCGGGCTCCGCCGGAACCGGAAACGGGGTTGCTGTCATTACCGCCCCCTGCGAGGGGCGGGGAGGAGCGGTGGGCAATTCCACCAATGGCGTCCCGGGTCCTTGAGCCTCCCTAGCAGCGGGGACCGGCGGAGCTCCAGCCCGGATCCCGCTCGGCCCCGCCGGGGGCGCTAGTGCGCGTGCGCGCTGCGTGGGCTCCGAGCTCGCCGGCGCCGAGGCCCGCGCGCTTCTCGACGCGCCCCCTGCTACTAGGTCACCTACTGGAATCTGTATTCACATCTACTCTGTGGATTTTGTAGTATTTGTCCCCTTTTTAAATTGTGTATTTACTTATTTACACTCATTCACTGTACGCTCTTCAAGTATACAAAACGAGCTTTTCCATCCAGAATACACTGCATTTCGGCTCAAAGATTTATTGTACGTGTTATCGTCAACAAAGAATTTTCCACTTACTGTTTCTTTAAGTTATTTTATTTATTTCTTCTTCAATTTGACCAGAGAGAGACAGAGAGAGGGAGAGTACATAAGCAAGCTACCAGGTCCAGGACTCGCACCACAGTCGTCCATGTGGAGTCCAGCGCCCTAACCAGCATGCCACCTGCCAGCCCCCCCATGTCTTGTTTCTTATATATTTCACTTCTCCCCAACCCCCTTGAATCCCTACTCTTCTTGCCCTCCGCCTTTTCCCACCCTTAGATACGATGTCTCTGGTATCTACAGTTATTTTCCATGCCTTTTATTTTTCCCCCCACATTTTATTGACTCACAAAAGATCTTTTTTTATATTTTATTTTTGAGAGGTTTTCCGCTATAGGGCGCAGTGCTCTCGCCAGACAGACAGAGAGAGAAATAGAGACAGGAAGCGAGAAATCACCCCCCAGGGGGGATGGTCATGCCGCAATCCCTTCTCCTCCATTCTCCTCTCGGGATCTTGGGCACGCACGTACACGCGCCGGGCATGAGTTTTAAGCCACCGGGTCTGGGACACGAACTGCGGTCGACTACGTGGGAGTCCAGCGACATAGCCATTACGCTAACTGCTGGTTCCCCCCACAAAAGATCTTAATTAATCTAAATACTTTCAGTAGCAAGTGGAGCTGATGTATACATATCTATGAACACATGTCTGCCTTCAGGCGTTAACCTCGGTGAGTAGAGTGAACAGACTATAAAGAAGCACTTCACTGGGGGTATATAGCCTATTTGCAGTCCTTAAATAGGTTTTTTAATGCATTTTTTTAATTTAAAGAAAAACAGTTTTAGTTTTAATAGATCAAAATCAAAAAATGTTAAGAGAAGTTTGCTTAAGACTTAAAGCTAGGAAAAAGGTTAGGATTCAGTTCAAACAGTAGATAGATGAACCTATCAACAGTTCAAGACAAATCCTTAAATCTGGAAAACAAAGCATAGAAGAAAATCAATAATGTTTTAGTCAAAAGTCATAAAATTATATTTCCCCAGTTCAGTCTCATGTAATTAATCTCTCTTCTGTTGAATTTGCTGTTACTGTGGTCTAATCGTTCCGTTTAAATTCTGGAAGTTAACATTCAACCTTATAATTGATCTTTCCAGACTTATCCCTACCATTAAGTTGGCCATTTTCTTGGTTGTTTTTGTACTCTTATTTCTGTGGGTCTGACTTTAGTTTTCCTGGTATAGCACTCCCTCCAGAACTTCTTGGAGAGCTGTTCTGGTGTTTGTAAATTCTTTCAGGTTTTGTTTATCTAAGAATGTTTTTTTTTAAAGATTATTTATTTATTTATTTTTATTTATTCATTTATTTCAATTTACCAGAGAGATACACAAAGAGAAAGGGAAAGCGAGAAAACAAGCCACCAGGTCCAGGACTCGAACCATGGTCAGCCATGTGGGGGTGTCCAGTGCCTTAACCACCACACCACCTGCTGGTCCCATCTGAAAATGTTTTTATCTTTTCTTGCCATATAAAGGATAATCTTGCCGGGTATACTGTTCTTGGTTGAAACTGTTTTTCACTTAACACTTTGAATGTATTTTCCCATTCTTTCCTTGCTTGCATTGTTTCCAGTGAGAGGTCCAATGTCAGCCTGTTGGGATATCCTTTGAAAGTAACTTGACATTTCCCTCTTGTCAATTTTAGTATCTCGTCTCTGTCTGTGGTTTTGGTCAATCTGGCTATGATGTGCCTTGGAGAAGATCTTCTTAGTTTGATTCTATGTGGGGCCCTTTGTATTTCTTGGGTCTGGATATTTGAATGCCTCTCTAGGTTTGGAAAGTTTTCTTCCATTTGTTCATGGAATAGATTACCAATGCCTTTATTAGTTACTTCACATTCTGGGATACTGATTGTCCAGATGTTTGGGCATTTAATGGTGCCTAATATTACTTATATATTATTCTCATTTGGGGGGGTTATTTTCTCAATCTTTTCGGTGAATTTTTCTAGCTCAGAGGTTCTGTCTTCTACATCTGAGATTCAGTCTTCTACACATTCTAATCTGCTTTTAATACTTTCAAGGTAGGTTTTGATTTTCTGTACCACTGTTCCATTTGATTCTTTTTTATGGTGTGGATTTCCTCTTTCAGATCATGCAAGAACTTCCTCACCTCCTGGAACTCAGTTCTCTTTTCTTCTGCATCTTCTGGAGTTTGTTGTCGCTCTTCTCTTAGAGCTAGCATCTCTGTTAGCTTTGTCACTATGAATATTCTAAATTCTTTATCTGACATTTCCACAAATTCCATTGTATTGTCTGTGGAATATGAATAGTTCATCCTTTCCCTTGAGGGAGAGAGATTTTCTTGGCTTAAACTTCTTGTGCCTCTGTGGTGGTTTCTGGTCATCTGATGGATTATATGTTTTTTCCTAATTTTCTTAGTTAAATCTGGGCGTTCAGAGGTGTGCAGGAGGAGGTGTTCTGCAGTCCTTTTTTCTCCCTTTGTGCAGCAGCTTCCGTGGGAATTGAGGATTACTCTGAACCTACTAGATCTCGAGGACAGGAGGGTAAAGTCTGGGCGGAAAATCTTCAGTTGTCTTAGTCTCTGAAAGGGGCCACTCAGAGCTCTGTCTCATTATTTATAGAGCCAAAACAGAAGCAGCAAAGGGCAGTGATTTTGAGGGTTAGGAACTCAAAAAATTGCCACAGGACATCCTGGAGGTGAGGAAACTGGCATTAAGGATTTCTTCCAGCTGTAAACCTATTTGCATGTATATTAGATACATAAATAGATAGTCAAAAGAAGAGAAACGGCCCTTTAAATGAGGTGAGTCAATGGATTTCAAAATTGATCTCTCTACAACTCAGCAACAAAGAAAACAACCTAATTTAAAAATGGGCAAAATGCGGAGCCAGCGGTTGGCATAATGGTTATGTCAGTGGATTCCCATGTAGTTGACCACAGTTCGAGTCCCGGACCCAGTGGCTTAAATTCACGCTAGGCGCGTGTGCATGCATGTCCAAGATCCTGAGAGGAGAATGGAGGAGAAGGGATTGCGGCATGGCCATCTCCCCTGGGGGGTGATTTCTTGCTTTTTGTCTCTCTGTCTCTCTTTGTCTTTCTGGCGAGCACACGCGCCCTTTAGCAAAAACCTCTCAAAATAAATAAAGATGAAAAATTACGCGGGTTGATAAGGGTGTGGCGAAATCAGTACTCCAGACACTGCTGGTGAGAATACAAGGTGGAGTAGCTGCTGTAGGAAACTGCTAAACATATACTTAGCATATGACCCAGTGCTTTCACTCCTGAGTGAAATTAAAAACGGATGTTCAGGGACCAGCAGGAGGCATCACGGTTACATCACTGGACTCTCACAAGGCCCACCACATTCGAGCCTTGGACCCAGGGACTTGAAACTCACACTGGGCATGTGTGCATGCAGGCCCAAATCCCAATAGGAGGATGGAGGAGAAGGGATTGCAGCATTAATCTACAATTAATAGATTAATTAATTAATTAAGGGGGTGGGTAATTTCGGGCTTTTGTCTCTGTCTCTCTGTCTCTCCAGCGAGCACACAAGTCCTAAAGCAAAAAAACAAACAGACAAACAAAAAATTCTCTCTTTTTTGGGGGGAGAGGTTTTTGCTATAGGGTGTGTGCGCTCACCAGACAGACAGAGAGAGACAGAGAGACAGAAAGTGAGAAATCACCCCCCCCCCAGGGGTATGGCCATGCAGCAATCCCTTCTCCTCCATTCTCCTCTCAGGATCTTGGGCACACACGCACACACGCCCGGTGTGAGTTTATACCACCAGGTCCGGGACGCAAACCGCGGTTGACTACATGGGAGTCTAGCAACATAAGCATCATAGCTGTTACACTAACTGCTGGCCCCAAAAACCCTCTTGAAAAAAAATTCTCGGGAACCAGCAGTTAGCGTGTCTCTCTCTGTTTTTCTGGCGAGCACACACGCCCTATAGCAAAAAACCTCTTAAAAAAAATAAAAGACCCCCCCCAAATGTATCATGTATGCTTATCCCACTGTGCCTGATCCCCTGAATATCAGTCACACATACAGTCTCTGGGAACAGCTTGATTACCCTCTAAAAGGAGCCCCCCTCTTCCCTGGCAGGTGGGCTGAGGCGCCTCTGACTTTAGACCCCAGGAAACTCTTTCTTTCAATTATTAATCATTTATTATTTATTTTATTTATTATTATTATTTAGTTTTAGTTTTCTCTAGGGTATGTGTGCACACCAGAAAGAGAGAGGGAAAGTGAGAAAGCAAGCCGCCAGGTCTGGGACTTGAACCACAGTCAGCCATGTGTGTGTCTAGCACCTTAACCACCACACCACCTGCTGACCCAAACTTTGCTATTTTCTTGAGGTGGTGCCTCCCGAGTCTTACTCTGGATCATGATATTCTGTTCTGTTTTTCTCACACCCCACAGTAATGCGTCATCAAATATTTACCTTGAAAATATGTCAGATGGGGCCAGCAGATGGCATAGTGGTCATGTTGCTGAACTCCCACACGGCCAAGCACCGTTTGAATCCCGAATTCAGTGGCTTGAAACTCAGGTTGGGTGAGTGCCCAAGATCAAGGGAGGACAATGGAAGAGAAGGGATTACGGAGTGGCCATCCC